TTTTTTTTTTTAATATTTAAGGTAAGGTCATGCCTCTGGTTTTTATTAACATATACTTAGATATATCCTTACATATACACTAATGTAACACTACAGAGACTTAAACTAATTTATCTACAACCTAAACTTACTAGAGTGGTTTATGTCCACATATGTCTTACCTAGATTAATGCTTCTCAACTAACTATTTTTAGTAATATCACATTCTCCTCACGTCTTGCCTGACTAGTCATAACTTTCAATTTGGTACGTTAGGTGTCTGCTCCTAATGAGCTCCCAAGTTGGTATATCTGCAAGCATGATTCATTGCAATTTCTTTCTAAGGTTTTTATTAATGCAATTGTAATTGGTGCAGGTGGTCTAACAGCCTTGTATCTCAATCCAGAAACTTGCTGCCTAGTTAGGTTCACCACATGACAGAGTTGGTATTTCAATTTCATTGTTGAATTAAGGACTTATCTTGGGTTTGTACCACCTCAACTGGTTTGCATCTCTAAATGCACCATCTCTCTCTATGTATGCTCTAATCTCCCACTTATATGTCTAGGTACTACTAACCCATATCTCAAGCCAAGCCCTGCTGCTGCTACTAGTGTCACGGCGATAACCAGTATTCGGTGTATCTAGGCGTGGGATCGATCTGGAACTCTAAAATAATAGAGAAATAGTCATATTAATAATAATAATAATAATAATAATAAAAAAGAAAAAAAAAAAAAGAGAACGTTTCATCTCATCTTTCCTTTTCAGAATCTATGATAGTGTTATTCTAGGTGATAGTGTTGTTCTGTTTGGGGTAGAAGGAAGAAGATTTTACCGTGCTTGAAACTTTGAAAACAATTAATCGATCTTAAATACATATATAGTGTATCAAAAAAAAAAACATTTAGATAATTGAACATACCTAATTACTTACCATACTAACTCTCTTCACTGGTATCAACGTAACTACAATGTCAAAAGATTCGACAAAGCCTTTCTTTCATGGAGAGAGTAATGATGACATCGATGAGTTCCTTTTTGACTATGAGAGGTTTGCAAAGTCAAAAACTGGGATGATGAAACCCAATATGGAATGATTGTTTTGCATATGCCAGAAGAAACTAAACCATGGGTCCGGGAGTTAATAAGAACCAAGACTCAGTGGTCAGACTTGAAGGATGCTATAATTAAGATAATAAAGCTGAGAATGATGATAGAGTAAAGATTAATTGATTAAGAGACGTCAAACAAGGGGAAAGAGAAACGGTAAGAGGATATGCCAGTAGATTTGAAGCTTATGTCGACGCAATAAAAAATAAAATAAGGAGTTATGAACAACGTGACTGGTTCTTGGATGGTCTGCGAGAGCTATATCGATCTAGAGTGGAGTGTTTTTGTCCGTCCAATTACACCAAAGCAAAGGAATGTGCGCTTCAAATTGAAACCTTTCAAAAGGATAGAGAACATGGTGATAAAAAAGGCCCGTTGGTGGTTGAAGAAAAATCTCAGTCAAATGAAACAGGCGTTGATAGTATAACTAATGCGCTTGAGGCCCTAACCATAAATAAGATAAGTCAGAAAGCTAGTAATGTTACCAAAATGGATAAGATTGAATCTGATATTAAGGAACTAGTAAAGGTGGTTAAGGAACTTTCTAGTAGTACGATAACTGGACGCTTTGTCCAAAGAAATCAGAACTCAACGCGAGGTCCGAGACCAAATAGTGATAATCGACGATGCTTTAACTGTCAACAAGAGGGTCACATCTCCCGTAATTATCCAAATCGAGAGTCTCAGGGCCCACCTGCTGAACGTAGGAATGAATCTAGGAATGAATCAAGGAATATAGAAAATGAAGACATTGAAATAAGAGGCACAAACATTTGATATTTTGAAATAACCTCAACCTCAGAGAACCCAGAAGTTGAATGTTTGAAAGTCAAAATGACAAAAAAGGAACCTATATTCGACATTCGAAACTACAATTTACGGAAAAGGAAGCTTATTGATGAGAATACAGAGGATACTGCAGTTGAAAATGAGGACAAAGGGAGAAGAGAAATAGCTAAGGAGACTAGGAACAATTTTGTAAAATCACCTACCCTGGGGCCCGTAATGTACATACCATTATCAGAATTAAGTCAAGAGCTTGACATTCTTAAGAAAACGCTGAAATGGAGATCACGTTAACACTTGGTCAATTGTTCAAGTGGTCCCCAAAAGCCAAAGCAGAAATATTAAAGGCACTAACTCGAAAAAAGAAAGAGAGCGACATTGTCCTGTTGGACACTAACGTGAGCATTGTCTGTTCGGTCCCAGGAATGAATGTGAAGCAAGTTGGTGATGTTCCAATGGGTGTTATTGCTATTAATGGAGAAAGAATAAATGCCCTGATTGATCCTGGATCACGACTAAATCTTATCCGTGAAAAATACGCTAGAGAAAGAGGACTGTCATAGAGACCTGTTAATGGAAAGGGTAGGATGGCTGATGACAGCATTAGTAGCTTCCTCAGTTACATACCAAATTTGGAAGTCAATGCGGATGGAATAATAGTAACACAAGGATTCTATATCATGGGATCCGCCAGTTTCGATGTATTATTGGACATGTCATGGATTGCAGCCGCAAAATGTGATTTGCGATAGAGGGACAATCAGTACTGGTGTTCGCTCGCCTCAAGATATAAGGAAATATCATTTGTGGCCACTACTGTGTCTGAACAATGGGTAAATCATAGATACAATGTGGGCGACGGTGAAGATACCGACAGTGGAGAAGAAACTGAGGTCTTGTCAATGCGTAGAGTTCAAGTAGATGGAGCTGAGATTGAAAAAATGGACGATGAATATAGAATACTGAAAGAAAGAGACAAAAATAGCGATCATTTAATAATAAGAGAAATCGAACCCACTGACAATGCCCAGTTTATAGGTTCATAGCATTGCGGCAGGTTGTTTATTGGACTGCAGATCAAGAGAATGAAAATGGTATTGTAAACATTGAAGGCCCAGAATTAGTGATGCGTCTTACAACAGAAAATAGTAATGTGTTAGACATCAATCCCGAAACACCTAAAAATATTAAAGATCACGTGATTAAGCAATTAGTCGAACAAGTCCCAGAGGTGTTTGCCTTTGAACTTTCTGAAATTGGAAAGACAGATCTAATTGAGTATGAGGTGCGTACTGGTGGGAAGGTAGTGCCCGAAACTAGGGTGAGACCTATCTGAATTAACAATCCAGAACGAGCCATGCTGTTTGAAAACCAGCTCCGCGAAATGGTCAAACATGGTTTATTAGAAAAGGGAAAAGGACAATATACGTATTACTGTTTTCCTGGTAAAAAGAAGGAAAGTGGGACTGACCAATTCCGTGTCGTAGGTGATATGAGACCCTTGAACAAGTATATAGTAAAGGACGAGTATCCGTTGCCCCTGATCTGCGACATTTTGGAGGTAGCAGTCGGCCATGATTGGTACTCGTCGGTCAATGCATACAAAGGATACTGGCAAATCCAAATCCATGAAGAGGATAGAGACAAGGTTGCAGTTGCAACTCCGATAGGGCTTTTGAGATATATAGTGATGTGTATGGGGCTAAAAAACGCTAGTGAGACCTTTCAACACTTATTGGATGTTGTGTTGGAGGGTGAAGAGTGGCGCAATATTGCTGCTACCTATCAGGATGATATTGGAATATGGACGGATGGTTCGATTGAATACCACATTGATTTATCTATAAAATTGGCATGCAAATTCAGAGAGGCTGGATTGACATTCGCGGTAAAGAAATGTCACCTTCTTTACAAGAAGTTAAACATGTATGGGTATGTAGTGAGCAAGTCGGGAATAAGAGTAAACCCAAGACAAGTTAAAAGGGTAATAGAAAGGAAAAGTCCACTAACCTTACTGAAGTTCAGTTATTTTTGGGTATAACGAATTATTATTGACGATTCGTCAAAAATTTTAGCAAAGTGGCAAAGCTGCTAACCGACCTAACTAAACAGAACATTGGATATCGCTGGGACGCTGAACAAGAGCAGTCATTTCAAGCCCTAAAAGAATTGTTGGTAGAAAATGTAATGTTGAAAGCACCAAATTGGGAAAAAGCCAAAAGTGAAGAATGTTCTTACCAAATGTTCACGGATGCATGCGAAGTATCCCTGGGTGTAGTCCTAGAACAATGTGATGAGGAAGGACGATCCCGTCCTGTGTCGTTTGAGTCGAGAAAATTGAATGAACAAGAGATCAACTACATCATAACCGAGAAGGAGTGCCTGGGCGTCATGTTCGGTTGTAACACAAATGAACGTTACGTAGGAGGGACTGCCTTCGATGTTTGGGTCGATCATTATGCATTGGAATGGTTGTTCAATAAGGCCATGCTTAAGGGACATCTTATGCGCTGGGTATTGGCCCTTCAAGCATTTAATTTTCTTATACAGTATAAGTCAAGGAAGTCACATACAAATGCCGATAGAATTTCAAGGTACCCAAATCCTCCGAACCAATCGAGTCCTACAGATGATGAATATGTTAAAAATTTGTTGATGCATGTAGGTGTCAAAAATCAAAGGTTAAGTGACCTAAAGGCTATAGTGCACTACTTAAAGATGCTTAGCTGGCCATCTCTTATGATGAAGGAGGATTTTAGACGATTAAATCCGAAATTAAGAAGGTACTGTTTGCTGAATGGTCAATTATACCACCGGTCCAACAAAAGAAGGCCGCCATGAAGAGTAATCTTTGACCCTAAAGAGAAGAAAATGATTATAAAGGCAAATCACAAAGAAATTAGTAACGAAGGCGGACATAGAGGAATCAACAGTTGTGTAAGAAAGATTTTGATGGGTTATGAATGGGCATCAGGTGATCTGTATAAGGATGTAAGAGCACACGTGATGTCTTGTATTGTGTGCCAGAAATGCGAACTCAGGGTTCCGAAGGAGCCTATCCATATAGTGGCGACCAGCTGGATCTTCCATCATTTGTATATAGACTGTATAGGTCCAATGCACCGTACTAGTGCAGGACATGAGCACATAGTTGTGGCCGTAGAAGATTTAACTAGATATGTGGAAGCCAAGGCTCTCAAAAGGAAAAATGCAAAAAATATCGCTCAATTTATTTGGGATGATGTAATCACCTGTCACTGATGTTTTGCACAATTAGTATTGGATAGGGGCACAGAATTCAAAAATATTATTATGAATGAACTCACTACACGAATGGGCATCGACCAAAATTCGCAGCAAGTTATCATCCTGAAGCAAATGGAAGAGCGGAAAGGACCGTTCAGAAAATTACGAAGGTATTGCATAAAGTATGTGCTATGAAGCAAAATCGGTGGCATGAGTACTTGCGTGAGGTCGTGCAGTAAATATTACAGTTGGAGAGCTTGGATATTCTTCCTTTCGGCTTGTATATGGAAGGGATGCTGTATTTTCCCTTTCGGCTTATATATGGAAGGGATGCTGTAACACTATTAGAGTTAACCATCGAAACATACCAGACATATGTGCTAAAAAAACACTGGACCACCGAAGAATTGTTGGAATTTCGGGTCCTGCAAATGAAAATTTTGGTTCATGAGTTAAAGGAAGTGCGGGTCAACCGTAATGAATTGAAAGAACGATGGAAGTACTTCTATAATCGCCGCAATAATATTGTCAAAGAAAGAATTGCAGTAAACGACCTGGTTCTGGTGTATGATTCGACTTTGGAAACTTCGCTATCAAGGAAGTTGGACTATCGTTGGAATGGTCCATATAAGGTTCGGAGAATTGGAGAACATGGTCAATATTACCTGGCAGAATTGGATGAAACTGAATTAATTGACAATTCTCCAGTCAACTGAAGAATGATCATAGTGAAATGTGACGCGGTTCTATAAATAAATTACTATAAGTGCGAAAGTAGAAATTTTCTAGTGATTGTCCAAAGAAAACTTTTTTTGTACTAAGTTAATCATCTTTGAGTCTCTA